GCCAGGAGTTCCTTCAACTTAGGGTAGTGTCTGAAGCGATGTGTCTTCATTTCTTTGAAACAGACCCACCCTGGATTCATGAATAAAAACCTTCTGAAGCTACTGTAGATACCTGCAAAATTGCGCATGGCATGCAACCAAAAGTCTTCAAAGCAACCAACTGAAGAACAGTGGAATAATAATCCAGTACTTGAGACATGGATAGAATTGTATGTTTGAGACTATCCTGGGACACCAGGTTTCTGTTTATTTCGGTTGCTGAAGCTTCTCAAACTTCTGATCAAATTCCAACCGAGAACAGTAACATATATTTTTCTGACTAACACACACAAAATAATGCACACTTGTGCATGCTATTCTTATAGGCTGTTTAAATTTTTCTGTTAGATATTGAATTCCTGGCCATCGTACTACGGCAGTTCCAAAAGCAAATTCCTTTGTTTCTTAATTGATCATGACTGGTGGTTCTGCATATCTGTTGTCTTGTTGCTTGGTTTTGCTATTTATATGTCAAACAAATAAATCCATTGCAAAGAAAAGCTGCCCTTTCTGAAGAGCACTATTTAACAAGGAAGAGGACGTTTGTAATGGAAGGGATTAACTGTGGAATTCACTCCCTCAACAGGTACTCTTGATGTCTACCTTATTCAATTTCACCAATGCCACCACCTGGCACAGTATTTGAGGAATGCATTGGTCTGCTGTATAGTTTTAGGTGTTGTCTCATTTTATTATAGTTTTATGGTATGCTTTTGTATACCTTGGCCCCGTCATCAGTTCAAAATGAGACGGTGGCCAAGAAATTAGAAGAGGAAGTCTTGGAAGGGCTGCAATGGAGGAACTAGAAAAGATCATCAAGTGGAGGAGACCAAGGCCAAGATCATCCACGGTATTGGATTCCCAATCACAATTTATGGGAGTAAAAGCTGGACAGTGAAGGAAATGGATGTGATCCGAAACATTATGCTGGAGGAGATCTTTGCAAATACCCTGGACCAGCAGAAAGATGAAGAGGTCCTCGATCAAACCAAGCCAGAGCTTTCCATAGAAGCAAAAATGACAAAACTGAGGCTGTCCTACTTCAGGCACATCTTCTCCCTAGGGAAGTGGAGCTGGCTGGAGCCAGGGGTCAGACTAGATGGCCGTGGAGACCCTTCTGACTCACTCTTTTTCTATGCTTCTATGTTTTCAACTTTATGATTCTGATTCCAACCAAGGTGGGTCTTTCTTCCCAGCCTCCTTTCTCAGAGACAGATCACCTTCTCTGTCTCCTGAAGGGTTCCATGATATCACTGCTCTGAAACCTTTTAGGAACAGTGCTGTTCTTACAGGCTTTTTCTGTGACATGACACGGTCTTGTGAGAACTTTGTTACAAGGCAACTTTGCCTTGTTGTTGTTGCAACATCGTTGTTGCAAATTGTTGCATTAGGACCATACTTACGCTGTTGTTGGTTGTTTTCATCCTATGTCATATAACGATTCTGAACCATGTAGCGATTGCATGAGATTTGATGGGCTAACCTATCCGTGGTTGTACAATCAATGGGGTAAAATGCTCAGAAAAGTGAGTGGAACTGTATTGGTTCATGAGGAAAAAGAAAAGCACCAATTCGACATTTGCACAAATGCAGAGAGGAAATAAGTCATCTGGTGCGTAGAATAGTGTGCTGTGGGGAGGGGAGAATGGAAGTGCAACTGGCTGCATTGTGGAAATGTGGCTGTGTGTGTGTTTGTTTTCTTTTTCCCCATGGGGAATAAACCACCTTGAGCCTGACAAAAGCTCAAGGGCTCCCCATGGCTCTCCACTGGCAACAGGCCATTGTATTCGCAGGTGGAGCCAGAGAGTGGGGTGAAATGAACTATCATGGCATATTTCTCCCTCCATGATTGTGTGAACCCAGTTCATATGGTTTGCCATGAGCTGGACCCTCCCCTTCTTGCCCCCAGGCACCCAAACACCAGGCCATCTCCCTGCAATTCAGATATTGATTGGCCCTTGGCAAGATACAAGTTGAAGCGATTCCAAAGCCCTCTAAGCGAGTTGGAACCCTCTGCTCATGTCAAGAGTGTTGAACCCAAGCTGGGGATTTCTCCCCCAAACCCTTCCCTTTCAGCAATTCTGGGGCTGCACCTTCTGGGTGGCTCCTGTGGGTGAAGGACCAGCCAGTGCGACCTACGCAAGCCTTTGAACGGGGCGGCTTGTCTCTCCTGATGCCTTGGCATGGCTCAGGGACTGGGCAAGCCAACCTCTCTCCCCCTTCCCCTTCTTAGACCTCTCCTCTCTCCCCCTGCTCTCCTGGCCAGCCTGGGAACCCATGAGCAGTGGCCCTGGGGGCACCTCCAAGCCGGAGCCTCTGCCTGGGCTTCCAGAACATCCATCTCTGCTTCTTCAAGGTTTCCTCCTCCTCCTCCTCCTCCAGATTTCTAGCCAAGATGCCCATCAGGATGCCCACCAAGAGTGCTGGCCAGCTCTTCTCACCACAGTTCTAAGGTTTTGCGATGCACTGTGGGTAAAACCCAAGTAAACACGCCATCAATGCTTAAACTAGAAGACAAGTGCAGAGGTTTCTCCTAACAGCACTCATCCCATGGCTTGGTTCTCCACCAGCAAAGTCCAAATTCCTTCAGCCACTTCATTATACCAGGTTGCTTCTGGGCAGGGCTTTGTTTGGTGTGGACCCAGCTTTGGTTGCAGAATTCTGGAATACATCCAAAACTCCATTCCTTTGCTAAAAGTCGAGCAACTTTATATTTGTTCTGTTATACTAATAACCCACCTTTCCACCTAGACACCTCAAAGGCAACGCCTTCCAGAGTGGGTTGGCACCAGCACTGAGCAGACAGGTCAGGACTGGGGGTGAGCCAATCCACCAGGTTTTGACCTCTAACTGGATTCCACACATCTCTCTCTCAGGATCCCACCACAGCGCATGGATGCACCTCTCCTCCATGAGGCTGGGAGATTGTGCCCGGCCCGGAGGCACCCGGTGAACTTCACGGCCCAGCAAGGACGAGAACCGGCTTCGCCCCACACCGGCTGCCCAGGTTTCCCCAGCGGGTGCCATCCACTGCCCCGGCCTCCCCCGCCAGAGAGGATCAGCTGAGGAGCGAGGCGCGGAGCATCTGCGGCGCGTCCTCTGAGGGGCGCGTCTCCCCCCCCACCTGGGGGCTGGAGCGCCCTCGTCCCCCTCCCCCCGGTTCACCTCCGCGGAGACGCGGCCGTGCCGTGAAGACGCGCGCCCAGGCTGCTCGCGCTGGCCGCAAGGTGAGGGAGGTGGAGGGCGGCTTCCCCTCCAGGGGCGCACGGATGCCTCGAGCCGTGCGAGCGGGGGGCTTCCTCGGGCGTGGGCGACCGGGGGGGGGGCAGCGGGTGGGAGGGGGAGGGAGCCCCCCACGCACGCACGGAGCCGGAGGTGTGCGTGCGTGCGTGTGTGTTTGGCGAGGGCACATGCCCGGCGCGGCGCAGCGCGGTCCCCACCCACGCCATCTCTCCCCTCCTGCCGCCGGCTTCCGTTTCGAAGCCTCCAATCAGGGCGGCACTCCGCTGCCGATCGCCGCCCCCCGATCCCCCCGTCTCCAGCCCAGGCTTTCCTTGCAACGCCTCCGCGCAGCCAGCCACGCAGAGGGCTTTCTTCCAGGCACCGCGGGGCGGATGGCTCCGCTCGCAGCGGCCGGGGGCTCGGCGGCGATGGGAAGCCAGGGCCGGGCGCCCGAGCGCGGATCCTTCGGCCCCGCCACCGGCGGCCTCCCCGACCGCTCGCTCGGGCCCTAGGCAGCCCCTGGGACGCGGGCCCGGGGGTCGCGATGGCCTGAGAAGCCGTCCGCCCAGCCATCCGGGCGCTCCTTCCCGCGCCAGGGGAGAGCCGAGAGACTCCTCAGGACCGGAACCGGGTGCTGGGGACGCGAGTCCGGCCCGATCCGGAGGGGGCGATTCGAGCGGAAACAAAGGCGGCGGGAGCCCTTTCCGCGGCACCTGCTCCCCCCACCCGGTCAAGTTCGCCCCGAGCCTGGTCAGCTTCCCACCGGCGCTGCGCCTGCGACCCGCGGAAGAATTGGGAGCATCACTGGACGGGGAGGAGCGCGAATCGCCCCAGCTTTGAGGGCTGGAGGTCTGAAGAGGCAGTTTTGTCCTGCTTAGCCTCCCCCCACCAGCCTTTAAAAATAGGGTCAGTCCTCAAAAGCAAAGCGTGGGCTGATTTGGAGTGCTGCGGGGCCATGTAGTTGGTAAACCAGCCAGGAACAAATGCAGCCTAAAGCAAGTGGGCTGGTACCCCTTCCCTCCTGCTCCCCTGCCAAAATATGAAGTTTGACAGGCGTCCAGTTTTCCCCGGGAAGTCCTCTTTCTGCACCCGTCCCTTTTGTCCCTTTTTGAGAAATACTTTAGCTGATAGTATAGATATTGCAGATCTATAAGGCTACCGATTTCTTGATTTAAAAGGACATCAAGAATCAGGATCCTGGTCTTGCCCACCCTTGGCGATGGCTGGAGCTTCGTCTGGGTCATCTTCTCTCAAGTAAGTCACCTTGAAACTGCTGCTGGAGTTGTACGAAATATGCAAGAGTGGATTGCTTTTGCAGGCCACGCGAGTCTGACCTGTTTGTGTTTCCAGCCAGTGGCCAGTGCAGAAGAGACCTTTCCCCTTTTCCCAGGCAGAAGCACCAGCAGATGCTTTCAGAAAGTTTCTTACTCTGGAGAACAATGACCGGACTTTTCCTTTGAGGAACAACATCTTTCATTTCTGGAGTGGGAGATCTGATTTGGGTTACTTTCCAGAATCTTTACCAATGGCAAACACTCGCCACGTCCCCTTGCTGTGAATAGCCAGTTGTGCCAGGTGAGAACTGGGAAGAGGCTTGCCAAAGGCACACGGATGGGGGATGTGACCTCAGCTCCGGCCTCTTCCTTCTAAAGCCACCCAGGGCAAAGTCCTTTTCCTTCTGTTCCTACCAGTCTGCTCATTCCCAAGACAGGATAGCTGGGAAGACAGAAAGCTCTTTGATGGCTTCTTTGCGGAGAGTGAAAGTCTTGCTGGTGTTAAACTTGATTGCAGTCGCCGGCTTTGTCCTTTTCCTGGCCAAGTGCCGGCCTGTTGCCGTGAAAAATGGGGACACCTTCCGTGAAATCCATCCGAGGGCAGAAGTGGCCAACTTGACTACTCATGTGATCAATCCCATCCAGGACTCGGTTTTGAAAAGACTGTCACTCCTTGAAGACATTGTCTATCGGCAACTCAATGGTAGGTAACTAATTTCTCTGGGGATAACTTGGAAACTTTTTCAGTAAAGATGCCTTTTGTTCTGGGTTGCACTGTAAACATAATCATCATAATTTGCTGGTTGGCTTGGATTTACTCTGTACAATGCAAGGTTGGCATCCGTGCAAGATGATTCCAAGTTTCTTAGGTTCTGCAAAGCTGCTTCTAATTAGACTACTGAGATGGATACATTCTCCAACCTGGATTAAGATGAATCCCATCTGGATTAAGATGGGAGGGAGGGATTACCAGTCAGTGGAAAGGACATCCTTTGCACATGGAGAAAAGTTCTCTCCCCCAGTTCAGTTCCCAGCATCTCCACTAGGGCTGGGAAAGAGTCTTGTCTGATAGTCCTTATAGTCATTTATCAGCCAGGTGGACTTACTGTACAGTCTAACTTAATTCAAGACGGCTTCCTGTATGTTAAACTCTGATGCGGTTTCTTTTGTGGCAAGGCTGCTGAAATCTGCCAGGCGGCGTCCTGTATCCACCTGCTTTCACTGGCCATGTGTGTTCCAAGTTCAAAATAAGCAGGTTCTGTCCCATGAGGTGCAGACGCGTGTCCCAAAGTGTGATGGAAGTGTGCACAAGATCATAGCCTTCCCATGGCATACATTCTCCCAACACACACTTCTGCATGTTCCAACCGGTTTCACCAAACTTCTCTTGGGCCGATTTTCAGCCCAGGGCTGAAGTGGCCAGCTTGGCAGCCCTGGTAGCCAACCCCTTGGTAGCCAACCCGCAATGAAACTTGGAAACTGGCATGTCCGGTTTCATTGCTGAAGGGAAATCTGAGCACGCAATGGGTCCTACGTGTGTTTTGTGGCATGGGGTAGGGGGAAAACTCAGCTCAGCTTCTGATTCTCCCAAGCCTTCCTGCACGTTTCAGGACACCACCAAGCACCTCATTATTTTTGCTGTAGCTCTTGGAGCCTAAAGGAAGTGCCATTAGGGTGGAAGGCTGCCCCCTGAAAATTATATTTGCATGTTATTATAAGGATTTGGTTGCCCTTCTCCAAGTAGGTTCTCATGGCTGCCCAAGATGGGGAGTCTTTCAGCTGTCTAGGCAAAGGATTTTAAAAGATTGGCAAGACTAGTAGGGTATGTTGCATGTACTTGCCTTTCTGTTAATTGAAAAGTGCTGGTAAACAGGGAGGGGGAGGCAGAAAAAGGAGATGCATCCAAACTGGGTGGGACATAAGCCTTTCCCCTTGGCAAAGTGATCCCCTGATCTTTCAGTGGTGAACTTTCAGTTCTCAGAGTCTTCTACCTTCTCACTGCTTCCCTGAGCTTCCGGAAAGGGGAGGGTCCTGCAGAAATGCATTTCCCTTGCATTTCTTTTCCAGCCATTAAATCCTTTGATGATTCTTTCTCTTTTTACTGTATTTTTATACAATGTGTATTGTATTCTATTCCTTTGTTTTATGCATTGCTGCAAACCTTCCAGAGAGCTTTATGCAATTACTAAACCTTCCAGATAATAATAATAATATGCAGATATTTCTGGGTTTTTAAAGAACTGGCGGGGACCACAAGAACCACCAATCTCTGCAACCCGGAGTGATATCACTTTCCTGGGTTTGGACAACACAATAGTCCATCGTGGCTTGAACAAACCATGGGTTCTCGGGGTGGCTTGTCGCTGAAAAATAAGGCACCTTGCACGGCATGGTCCAACTGTGGACAACATGGCAATTCAACATGGCTGGTAGCATGACACCACACCATTGTGGTGCCATGCAAAGTAGTTCATTGTGCGTTCTCCTTTGGATGCAAGCGCCCAAGAAGCATGAAGTCTTCTTGTTGCAAGACAAATCTGCCAAAAGGTCATCGTGCTGTATCCATTCAGAAGCTTCCTCTGGAGGACTAAAGGAAGCGTCTTTTGGCTAAGGGAAACTCCACTTGTCCATGATTTACCCTGGAGTAAAGACATCCAAAAAGCACTCTTCTCCTCTCCCAATCACACACGGTGATTAATGGAGTGCTTCTTAATTTGCTAGAGCTACAGTCCTGTGTGTGCTTATTAAATAATAAATCCTTTTTATTGCGGTGAGATTTAATCCTGATTGGGCTTTAAGTGTTACAGCCCTGATCTTGTTTCACGTGCCCGTCTCGGGAGATAAATCACCACCATTTCCATCAGGTTTGACAGAGGTGCTTTCTCCTCTGTGGATTAGAGCAGGGAAGCAAAAGGCTGGCTAATAAAGCACAGAGTAAATTGCCTACTTCTCAAGAGTGTTAACTGGGTAAACATTGTATTTCTGTTGGCCAGAGAAAGGGTGAAGGGAGGTTCCATATCCCTTATTCTTGCCTCTTGGCTCAATGGGTTGACCCAAGAAACAAGCAAAACAAATTTTCCCAGGTCCCACCAAGGATTTTGGTTGTGAAGATTTTTCTTCCCTGGTTTATCTTCTCCTTTGCTAGAAGACCTTTGAGGCTGGACTTCCATGGGGCGTAATCTTGGAAGCAGAACTAGTAGAATCAGGCCTGTTCCAGATCAACTCTGTACAACATCATTCCTGTAGGTCTCAAATGCATAAGTGACCCCAGCTGTTGTGTATTCACAAAAGGCTTGGAATGATGTGCGGACTGGTGGTTGCTCCACACCATGAATTGCTGCTTGGAACAGCCTCCGTGGAGTGGCATTTTGAAACATCTACACTGCTTCTTCAGTGCTCATTCATTCATTCGTCTCTTTTTTATTTATTTAAAGCATTTCTATACCATTCAATGAGCACAATGCTGTCAAAACAGTTTAACAAATGCAGTTTAAATACACAAACTGCGATGATTTAAAACAGACTCGCTGGCCATAAAACCTTCCTGTGCGATACATTTTAGCAGGCATATACAACAACAACGACAAATAAACAATACAGTGCAATTAGTAACAACACCTATTCCACATGTACCAAACAATTTAAAAACCAATATAAAACCAGAGAATCGCCAATTAAAATGGCAGGGAAATAAAAAAAAGTAATTTTTATTTCTTCTTCTTTGTTCTGGTTAATTTTCTTTTGCATGGCCCAAGGGTTTGTGAAGGCAGCCTTGGGAAGTCCACTTTATGACGTCCAGCCATTGGTCTGCTTGGCTAAGCATCACTTGTGCAGCATTCTGGGAGAGCTGCAGTCAAGGTGGGAAGAGGGCATCTTCCATGGGACTGTCTGTGGAATAGGCGTAGCCCCAGTTGACCCTGGGGCTTCCACTCAGCCATGCTGCTTCCTTACCCAGGGAGTCCTCCCTGGCTTGCTTCTGTCAGGGTCTCTTTACTAATGGCGAGAATGAAGTCCCCGGAGTCGCAGGGAAGACCGAATCGCCTCGAACCGCTGCGTTTTTACGGGTGAAATCACCCAGGCCCCCTGCAGTGACCCAGGTAGCGGTCTGCACCACCAACTGCATGCTTTTAGAACATACACAGAGTGTTTTCTTGAATCTGAGTCACATGGGCCCAGCAGTTGGGCAGCTGATGACGAAATAAGGGGAACACTGTCAGAAGAAGTGAGGGGTCTGCAGAGGGGGCTCAGTACAATGGCATTTGATTGCAGGATACTAACATAGAAACAAAGCGAGTCAGAAGGGGCCTCCTGGGCCATCTAGTCTGACCCCCAGCTCCAGCCAGCTCCGCTCATGACATGCCCACCATGCGCATGTCAAACCTATCTCTGAACACCCTCACCAATGGGGCCTCAACCATCTCCTGTGGAAGCCCATTCCACACCCTCGGGGTCCTAACCATCAGAAAGCTCTTCTTGGCATCCAAATGGAACCTGGGTTCCCTGAGCTTTGCTCCGTTGGGGGCGTGTCCTGCTTTCCCCTTCTGACTCACTCTGTTTCTGTGTTTTTATGTCTTTCTTTTCTGCACCTGCCTTGACTTTCCCTAGCATGAGTGCCTTCTCCAGGGAGCTTCACCTTGTCACGAAGGTAGTAAATGCACATGTGAAATAAACAAACAATGATGCCAGCAATCTGCAACTTGCACAGCTGCACAATTAAAATATGTGCACTATGTTCTCCCCACAACCACCCATATTTTTGCCATCCTTGTCCTATTCAAGGCACTGAATCCATTCGACTTCCTTCCCACTTGGAAAAATAACTCCGTTTGGTGAGCTAGATAATACCACAACTCTCTAGGGATTTTCCGATCACCTGATCACTTTAATTGGGAAGGCCGGGCGACGAACCTGGATTTTCTGCCCTTAGAACTTGCAGACATGTTGAAAATGGGGAACTGGGCTGGCTAATTAGTTTCTCTCTCGAGCATGTCCATGCTAATTGCATTTGGTGCTTTGGTGTTTATTTTCACTCAGTTGCAATTTTAATACTGGGCTTCTTTAACCAAGCTTGAGACACTGGGAGTGTTTTAAGCGGTTTGTCTGGAATCCATGGAATTAGCTCACTCTAAATGCAAGATCAATGCCCAAAGCCTGTAATTTCTGCTTGTTTAAGTAAAACGAATCTCCTAGAGTCAGTGAGGAGATCAGGGCTCTTGCAGGGATGCATGGGGCAGAAATAGCAGTGATGTTTGGAGAAGCACCTGAGTTGTTGGTTTGGGAAATGCCCACTCTGGGGTGCTGCATGGACTGAAGAAATATGGTCTTTCTGAAGCCCCCCATCCCCATTTGAATGCAGTCACTTGCGTTCTGGAACAATCCAGCCATTCTTACAGCTTACCTCTGACAAGTGCTACTTAAATCCTCAAGCTACAGTTCTCTTTATGGCACATCCTGGAGATGACTCTTGCAATCTCTCAAGGTACAGCACTTTTGAAATGCAATGAGGGAGCTTTAAAGCTGCCATGCGGGATGGAGGAATGGAGCTGGAAGTTGTAAGAAATCTAGGTGAGAGATCTAATTAAAAAGCTGACTCGAAAACAATCTTCTAGGCTCCCCAAAGATTTGCAAATTGACGTGTGATCCCAGCAAGCACCGCTGATAGCTTTGCTTCTTGCAGAGCTTAAGCGCAGCCTTGTGCATTTA